ATAATATCTTTAATAGTTACCCGAAAGGCCTGGGGCAACCGGAGAATATCGGCAGTCCGCAGGGCTGCGCTTGTCCCCTCACGCTTCGCGGGTCTAGTCGGGTCCCGGTCTCGAAGGCATAAAAATAATCACCTCTTACTTTTCTGGTGAAAGTAAGAGGTGAAGGATAGTCTGACTACTATCGAGGAAAAATCGCTCGTGCAAAGCGGCAAGCAGATGATGTCAGGTGGGGCAAATTTGCTTGTCGTAACAAACTGGCAGATTGTTGTGTTATGCGTAACAAAGAAGAAAAGAAATGCTAGGAAAAAATGTTGACTAACAAGAGAACGATTGAGAAACGAAACCATAGGAGTCGTTAAGGCTAGCTCATCTTAGAGCCAATGCAGCACAAACAGGCCGACTTGGTAGGGACCCGACTCCCTGATCGATTACCTTCAAGGAATGTGTGAACGCAACACGACACGTGAACACCAAAAGCCTAAAGACGATATACAGATGCGACATTGCAAGTGAAGAGCGAAAAGAAACGAAATAGACAGATGTTACGGAAAAATAGGCTATGCGCGCAAACGTCGATGATGCACAAAACTGAGAACGGGAAGAGATACAAATAGAGAGAGAGAAAGAACGAAAGAAAGAAGCAGACGAAATTGTTATAGTATCATGACGCTGCGGGGTCTTTGCCAATATGCCGAACAGACAGAAAAAATAGAACCTGCAAAGACCCGATAGATACCGATAGACTGCAGCTGCCGAAATGAAATACGTCGAAGTTGGAGGGAAGCAGCCAGACAGGTAAAAGGAAAGGTTAGAAAAAAAAGCGAATGATATACTACTAGCAGGTTTGAAATGAAAATAATAACAGACACACGACGGCATAGAATACGACAAATGAACATGAAAGAACGCGTAGTACCATGCATACGGAAACGGAGTCGTAGACGCGAAGTGCGGGCAAGCAAGCTTCAATGTGAAGAACAGGCGGCCTCGATATATCGTATAATGATGATGGTATAATTTGAAAACGATGATAATGATGCTTATAGTGCCGCTAATTATAAATACGCGCGTACGGCAAAAAAATAGCGCGCAAAAATTAAAGGAAGAAAGGAAATGGAATTCCGTAAAAGGTTGAGAACACGACAGGAGACAAGATAAGATCAAGAAAATAAACGTCTTTTAAGGACTCAAGAATGCCCTGCTAGTCTTGCATTTCAGGCCGGATGCCCTTCGGCTGCACAAAAGTTAGATTTTGGTAGTTTGTCAGGGTGTCCGGACTGAAGCGTACTGTACATAGTGCATTTTATGTATATTGTATAACATTACCTAAAAAGTACACACGCATATATATATATATATATATATATATATATATATATTACTACTACTCTCTTTATATAAATAATCCTGTATTGTCGCCCTTTCGAATTCATATATAAACCCATAAATACATGTTTGTACACATTAAATTAATGAATTATGAGATTCTACTATATACGTCGTAGCTCTAATAAGCTTCAGCAAATAATAATAATTACACATATCAAATCAATCAATTAAGCAATGGGAACGATTACAACGGTAAAAGCAACAGATCATCCTTATCTAACAGCATATTAACTATTACTGGAAGCTAGATAACTAATAACGGAAACTAGATTGATAGGTTTAGTAGAATAGATGTAACTGGATTCTATGTTTAGCGGTAATGGGTCAAGAGATCCGACCTTTAAGTCGGTTGATACGTCGGGCAGCCGTTGTGCCGGACGTGATCGGCGTATTGGTGCAGATAACGCACCAAATTATTCCCTGTACGCGTCTCAAATTCCCAGCGCCAGTGGCGATTTAGCATGAAATGCTCAGTCTTGTGTTTACTAAACAATCATCTTATCCCCTCGAATATCATCACCACAAGTCCTTACGAATGAAATTACTAGAGAACTATCATGTAGTTCCATAGCAAACTGTTCTCCTTAATAGCGTCCTTGTATTAGGAGACAATATAAGTCAATTAGCACATTTAGTACAGCTTCGAATCATTTTTATACCATTACTATTATTATATCATTGAAATTGGTTGCTGGCGTTAGGCGCGCGCGTAGTTGCCGACGGCCGCCTTCGCTCTCTGTAAGCAAAAACTCACTGGCATGTTCATATGAATACACGGAGGAAAGCTGCTCCTCTCTCTCGCGCTCTTCCCTCTTTCACTCTCTCCCCTCCCCCACCCCATCTCTCTCTCTCCATCCACGCTCTCTTTCTCTCTCTCTCTCTCTCTCTGTCTCTGTCTCTGTCTATCCCAGCCCCTCGTCTCGCCTCGCCTCGCCTCGCCTCGCCTCGCCTCCCCCCGCTCTCTCTTGCCGTATGTAAAAACTGCAAAAGAGAATTGAGAACGAAATAGCTAGCGCCCACCCGGACGCCCGCCTGCTTGCGCCTATGTCGTTCTAGGAATGCAGACGAAGAAAAACGCATTCGGCAGACACATGCTAAAGTACACAAGGCTTATTATAGCCATGTTCGTTTGGCTGTCTACTGAATGTGCCCATTGGCGGACCCCGCTACCTTAAAACCACAATATACGCACAGATTAACAATAACAATTCTTGGTTCTGCTAATAATACTATGACGGTAGTGGTTATTTATTATAGTAAGAGTAGTTTTTGCTATTTTATATATCTATATCTATCTATCCATCTATCTATCTATCTATCTATCTGTCTATCTATCTATCTATCTATCTATCTATCTATCTATCTATCTATCTATCTATCTATCTATCTATCTATCTATCTGTCTATCTATCTATCTATCTATCTATCTATCTATCTATCTATATATATATATATATAGATAGATATATATATATATATATATGGTGAAAGCTAACTAAACACCATGATGCACTGCTGGAAGCTCTGGAACCCAGGGCATCATTTTTGGCCATGCATTTAATTCTATGGTCGCGATTGAATTTATAAACCAAGTCCTCCTGGTTTCCACCAGTGTAAAGAAGATTGTTTTAGTTGCGGTAACGGATTAGATAATAATAATACCACCATAAACATACTTGCTCTTCTCGTTTACGGCTTCTTCTATATAGATGTCATCTTTCTCGACCTCTGATTTCTGTCTATGAGCCCACAAACAGCCTTCAACCTAATTAATGCCTATGGCAAGCCACTGTAGGGAGACTGTGTGGGGTCAAGAGAAAAACGCATGATATAATATAGAGAGAACCGTAATTGCAATTACCTCCACGGTTATTATTTTTACATCACATCATGCATATATACAAATAGATGTGTGCGTGTATATGGCTATCACCTTGACTTATGTTGATATGTATGTGTATATATATCCATATTCTCAAATCAAGTATCTATATCTAGTAACTCTATTGCAATTGCACCATGGTGCATTCATGAGATATATCATTATGAGTATATATCTACGACTAATTAATTAATGGATTAGGTGGATGATAATGAAGTGAGTACACCAATACACAACAGGAAGCTGGTAGCCGTTAGTTTAGCAAGCACAAAGAGCCACAACAAAACATCTTTTTTAGACAGAGAAATGATGGCTTTACATAGAAAGCGCTAGATTGAGTTTAAGCAATGTAAGCTCGATATCCGAGTGGAAAATTTTGTGTGAGTGATTGTCTTCTGTACAAGGCCGGACTGATAGTAGGCGCTTGTCGTAAATGATACGCGTTACCGATGTTGAAATGCAGGCAAGTGTAGCTGAGAGTGAAGATGTAAAATCGTTTGGATTGTTGTGATTGGCTGGATAAGCTTCGAAGGGCCTATGGCTGGTGGAAAGTACGGGTCGATGAGCTAAATTTAGCCTTAAAAAAAAAAGATCAAATATGAAACAACGTTCGTACGTTGCCCGATTGGCCTTTGGTACAGTTTCAAGTTGATGCTCAGCATCTTCAGTTCTACGAGCAGATCGACACCACGTTCAGCTGTACGTTCGTGTACAGCCAAGTTACTGCTTCTGGAAAGTGTCTTGTTGAAACCCTTTACTCACCCACACCGCATTGTAAGGGCTTCCCAGACCCTGCACGAGAGGAGAGGTCGAAATTCGCGGGTACACGAACGGCGATCAGGCGATTGTATCATGAAGCAAGGCGCTGGACCCAAGGGGACGTTGAAAGACCAATAGAGGATGGGGTGCGAAATGCTACGCCCAGTGTGACTGACTGAAAGCAAGCAATTTCCCAAACATGTAGATGTACATATTTATACTCCAATGTGTATATATATATATATATATATATATATATATATATATATGTGCGAGGTAAAAGAAAGTTCTGTTGCGACTACACGACCACTAATGGGCATCAATCATATGCTGTGACTTCCTACGTCTTCGTCGAAGTCGGCGCCATCGATTCGCAGCTAGTGTGTATGTACGACGTCTGTTGTGACAGGGGGCTTAATGCGATATACGTACATAATTTTGTGCAGTGCCAAATCCATTCAAGTGGTGATTCTGAAGTGATCGAGAGAGTGTTTGTGCGTCAGGTCAAATTGTCCACTGATTGTTTGTAGAGGGCAAAAAAGGGAAACAACTGCTGTGTTTATTTACAATACAATATATGTGAACTGAATATAAAGTACAGATCGAATCAACCGAGTGATGCTGATCCTGGTGAATGCTGACAACAGATGTTGTGATTTGGCGAAAAATGTAAAATACTTATGAAATTGTTTTTAAAACGTGGAAACGAGGGGCTACACGATACAACGATACTTATTTCGGCATGAACATCAAATACCAGCTGTCATTGAATACCACAACAAAACAACGATAAACACTGAAATTTCGTAAGGATAACATACATACATACATACATACAGAAAAACGGAGGAGATACGTGTATT